ATATATATATATATATATATATTCGCCCGTGTATGGAATATTGTTGCCACATCTGATCTGTTGCTTCTGCAGTTCTTGAGAAAATCCCAAGAATCTGCAGTGTTATCGGCTCTGACATGGCTGAAATCCCATCAGTTTCCAACCACAACAACGTCGCTACATCGTATCTTTTCTATAAATATTTTCATGACAGTTGATCTGCTGAACGTTCCTCTTTGATACGTCGACATCACGAATTTAACCGCAGTACTAGATTGGCAGCGAGGTCTCATTATTTTACTGCTGGAATTGCCTGGTGTAACTTACTTCCACGTCAATTACGATTTTCAAAAGCTTGAATGCAATGTCAATCGTCATGTTCTGTCTTTTTAAATCGCGTTCATTTATTATCTTTTCTTCTCATTAAAGTTTTCTCTGTTTGATTTATTCTCAGTAACCCACTAGCGTCTTAGTGGCTTTCGCGTCTTTCTTGCGTTTTTAAATGATTTAAAGACATACATTAAACATTTAAACGTGGAATTATTATGTGCATACCATATATACTCATATGATGCCCGATGTTTATTTTAAATATGTACTTTTTGAGTGCAGTAAATGGATATATAGTTTTGGTTAACAGCGTAGTCAGGGCCAGCAGTACATACTCTAATTTTATATCTCATGTATGATATGACCCTCTTAAAATTAGCTTCAAAATTTGGTCTTCAAAAGTCGCATGACACTCAACTATATACGGTATATTAAAATTTTTATACATACTTCAAGATACCGTCTCCTACGTTAAAAGATATTTAATGTGGGTTCGTTTTGTATAATAGTGAATTTAGAATTTAGAATTTTTTTCTTGCCGATAGGGCTGTATCGTATTTTGGTATTATCTATAAAACTATACCATATATATGAAGATTGCGCGCTTTTTTCAAACTAATATGCGAACTCACTTCGGGCTAGTGAGACTTTCTTTTCCGGAAGGATTTTGTCGTATGTTCAGTAATAATATTTACAATAACTAAATAAATCCATAACTGCATATTTTTTTTCTTTAAAATTATAGTTCTTATTTCGTAAACTAACTTACTAGCTAATGATAAACTTAAGCCGTCGTATTCAAAATTTTTGGTGTCCCCATTTTGAAGAATTAGACGCCATTCTCTCGTGTGTTTGAATTGCTTCAGCATCCTAGCATAGTCGGTGTTAATTAAACCAAAGATTATACGAAATCTACCAATTATTAAGTTTAGAGGTTGGCCCCAAACTTTGACCTATTGTATATATACGAATTCTGATCAAAAAGAATCGTGACTGGGGGTATAAACAGAAAACTACAACACATATCAGTTCGACATTTAATCTCCTTCGAAGCAGTCCCCTTCTGAAACCACACACTTTATCCAAGGCCGTTTCCATTGATGGAAGCATTCCTGGAACTGCTACCTCGTCGCATTAACTTAGATTGACTCGACGTCTTCAAATCTTGTTCGTTTCAAGTGGTACTTGATTTTTGAAGCGGAAAAAGTCGCAAGGGGGGATATCTGGTGAATGTTGTTCTTAGCCAAAATCTGCAGCAAAATCTATGGTCACTCACGTAAACTCTGTGTTGTGGTGAGACGACCACATTCTACACACTTTCTTCCAAGCACTGCTACAGCAGACGTGAGCAATAACGTTATAACTTAGTGTTTATGTGCGACAGCGTTCAAGATCAGTCGGAGCTAATCGGCTTCACTCTGCGTACTTTAGGCTCGTTAACATAGCAATAGTACCGATACATTTAGTCACACATTATATATACATATATATATATATATATATATATATATATATATATATATATATATATATATATATATATATATATATATGCACCAGGTCTCTCTGTTCGGCCCTTCAAAAAGTGTGGATGGTCCTGCACGTAACCTTCACCACTATAATCAATTCTCATGTGCTGTTGTCGGGCTGTCGGTTTCCTGGTAACTTTGATCTCCTTGACCCTCATACGTCTAGGTCTGCTCTACGGTTGTATTGAGCTCTTTTGTTAGTTAGTTGTTACTCGTATCAGGGTTTTCTTTGGGCTTCAGACCTGCATCTGTGCGATTTTTTGTCGGCAGAAGTTCATGTTTGTAGCTCTTTCTTTTTTTTTTAAAACCTTTTTTCCCTCGAGATTGATTTGATTAGCAAATCAAAAATTCGAAGTTTTCGAAACGAGTCTAGTTATATATATATATATATATATATATATATATATATATATATATATATATATATATGTAAATAAGACGTCTTGATAATGTAGTTGGAGATACATTCTCCCCAATAGACATTTGAATTTGTATATAATGTTGGATTTACGTAATCCAACCGTTGGTGGAGAGGTGTTATTGCAAATAATTAAATTAGTTGTATTTTGTATAATATATGACTAAATTTATTTTTATTGTGACACATAAAAAACCTCATTCGAACCAATATATCATTCATGGATAATATATGTGTGTGTGCGCGTGTGTATATATATATAAGTGTGATTGCGTGAGTGCGACACTGACATCCAAAGACGTATTGTGATGACCAAAGGCACATTGCAAAAGCTAGGCAGAGTATTACATGACAAGAGGTTTTCCTTGGTAACAAAGAAAAGAGTACTGAACTGCTACGTGATATCTGTCCTCCTTTATGGCAGCGAATGTTGGACGGTCTCCTCAAAGATGAAGAAGAGACTCGAGGTAACAGTGGTATGCTTGTACAAAAGGATGTTAAAGATACCCTGGACCGAACACGTGAACAACGATAAGGTTTTGGAGAAGATGCAAGCAAAGAGGAAACTTATACTTAACATCAGGAAGTGGCAACTGAAATTTCTGGGATACATCAGAGACACGGTACTTGAAGATGAAGATTAAGAAGAAGATATTGTTTTAATGTTCTCTTTCTAATCTGTGAGTAAATTCTTACGATGGCTGAACTTATTAAATTATATAAGATATGACCAATAATAAGCTTCAATGTGTTTGCAAGGTTTTGCGCGAACCGTTTACTAAGATGTTTGCAGAACCGGTCTTGAAATTCTCTTGATCTTTATATTCATCGATAAAACATTTAGAGATGAAAAAGTGGAAAAAATATCTGTTTCTGCATCCACTATCAATAATAATAAACATAATGATAATAATACAGTGTAACCCGGATATAAGAGACCCGGATATAAGAGAAACCCGGATATAAGAGACTCGGATATAAGAGAAACCCGGATATAAGAGAGATTTTCTCTGGTCCCAAATTAGAGCCTGCGTTAATGTATATAAAATAGACCAAACCCGGATATAAGAAAAACCCGGATATAAGAGACTTCTCCGGTCCCGACAACTCTCTTATATCCGGGTTACACTGTAATAATAATGGGATGTAAAAGAAAAGAGAATCCGTTGACAAAAAATGTAATTCCCAACTCAGTTTAACAATTTTCTTTTTTCATGTTTTTTCATAGTTGCTAGTTTTCATTAATTTCTTTTTATTTTTCTTCTTTATAAATATTTACTGCTTTTCGTTTCTTCATCCGTCTTTTCTTTCTTTCTTTCTTTCTTTCTTTCTTTCTTTCTTTTACCTTTCTCATTTTTTTCTTCTTCATTCCGTTCTCGCTTTCTTTTTTCTTGTACGTTCAAAATTGTTTCATTCATTTCCGAGCAATTTAATCAACCCAGAAAATTATAAAACTATCCTTCCTTTCATCATTCTTATTTTTCTTTTTTCTTTCGGTTATTTTCTTTCTTCATTCTTTCTTTTTTATTTCTTTCTTTCTTTAGTTCTTTCTTTCTTTCCTTCCTTTATCAGTCTGAATTTTTCTTTTTCTTCAGTTCTCGATTTCTTTTTTTACTTTTTCGTACAAAATTGTCTCATTCATTTCCCAGAAATTTCATCATCCCAGAAAATTATAAAACTTATCCTTCCTTTCATCATTCCTTCTTTCTTTCTTTCTTTCTTTCTTTCTTTCTTTCTTTCTTTTATCGGTCTGAATTTTTTTCTTCAGTTCTCGATTTCTTTTTTCTTTTTCGTACAAAATTGTTTCATTCATGTCCGAGCAATTTCATCATGCCCCAAAAATTATAAAACTTTCCTTCCTTTCATCATTCATATTTTTCTTTTTTCGTTCGTTCGTTCTTTCTTTCTTTCTTTCTTTCTTTCTTTCTTTCTTTTATCGGTCTGAATTTTTCTTCTTCTTCAGTTCTTGATTTCTTTTTCGTACAAAATTGTTGGTCAAGCAATTTCATGTACCCGGAAAATGATCCCTGTGTGCTCCACACCTTTGTACCGTTCTGTACAAAATGAACCTCTGTGTAAGAAAAGGACATAATCAGGTTAAAATAATGTTCATATTGATGGAATTGCATATATATATATATATATATATATATATATATATATATATATATATATATATATATATATATATATATATGGTGAAAATATAAGCTAAAACATCGATCATAATTACACATCGAAACGTTGAAGATGCAGGGACCTTTAATTTTAAGTTTAAAATTTAAATTTCTGGCTTCCGATGTATTTAGATGTGCAGCTAAGTCGATATCATTCGGCTTCTTTCCGCTTTGTTCAACCTTTCATCGCTGTTGTTAACAAAGCGAATCTGGTAAACCATTACTATTGAGTAGTTCTGTCCTCGATGAATTCACATAACAAATTTATCCGGAAATCTCGATCATTGCTGCAAGCATAAATTTTGCCTTCTCTTAATGATATGGGGAGCTACTGCGAGGGGAACGAATCCCAAGTAACGCGCCATTGAAAACATCAAGACGAAGAGAATGTAAACTTTAGTCGGTAGCCAAATGTCCCAGTGTTGTGGCTCTGAAACTCTATGCACCCGAGTCTTACGAACACACGTACACGGAAACAGTGAACAGGCGAGCAGACTCTAGGTAGCTTCGATGTCATGATCCAGCGCGCTTTACAAATCAATGCCGACTGCTGCTTCGTCGTTATCATTTACAGCGCCTTTTTTCTTATAGCTTTCTCTCTAGTTTCACTTTCGCTTTTGCTGTGTACGAAGTTTTTCTTTTTTGAAGACTGTATATTTCTTCTGTCTCTTCTCTCTGTTGTTACTGGTTTTTAGGGGGATTTGTTTTTGCTCTTCTTTCTTTTTTTTGCATAGTTTCACTTTTTTCTTCATCTTTTTTATTTTCTTGTTTGTACCTATACACTGCTTTTTGTTTCTTCTTTCGCTTTTTTCTTTCTTTCTTTCTTTCTTTCTTTCTTTCTTTTATCTGTCTCATTCTTCTTTTCATTCTCGCTTTTTTTCTTTTTCGTTCAAACTGGTTTCATTCATTTCTGAGTAATTTCATTAACCCAGAGAACTCTGAAAATTCCTTCCATTCTTTCTTTCTTTCTTTTTTCTTTCTTTTTTCTTTCTTTCTTTTTTCTTCCTTTTTTCTTTTAATCCATTTTTCTCTTCCTTTTCTTTTTTATACATATAGACCACATTTTTACTTCTTCTTTCGTTTTTACTTTTTCTTTCTTTCTTTCTTTTATCCGTTTCATTTTTTATTCTTCCTTCCATTTTCGCTTTTTTCTTTTTCTTTCAAAATTTTATCATTCATTTCCGAACAATCTCATTAACCCAGAAAATGATGAAATTTCTTTTTTCCATTCTTTCTTTCTTTCTTTCTTTATTTTTTCTTTCTTTCTTTCTTTCTTTTTTCTTTCTTTTTTCTTTCTTTTTTCTTTCAATCCATTCTTCTTTTCCTTTTCTTCTTTATACATATATACCGCTTTTTGTTTCTTCTTTCGCTTTATACTTTTTCTTTCTTTCTTTCTTTCTTTTTTTCTTTCTTTCTTTCAACCCATTACATTTAATTCTCTTGTACGTAACATCCTCAGAAATCACTTGATATTTATATTCATTATTTATTTCCTTTCTGTATTTCATTGGTTTATTCTACTTCTTTATAAACTTAGGCTAGTCTGATTTTCTTTCGATAAGTATATACAAATGATTCACTTTAAAAGATAGATCTCATTTAACGTAATAGCTTTCTTGCCATGTTTCATACTCTTTCTTTTTTTTTTTACTTCTTAACAATTTTGTCAATCTTAAAAATATTTTCTTTCTGCCTTTTCTTTGGTGCTTTCTTTCTAAATTCTTTCATATATTTCCTAATAATAAATCTTGTTGCTCTTATATTTTTCTTTCCTTTTTCATTCTTCTACTGAATTCTTTCATTATCAGTTTTATCAATGTTTCGAACTTTCATTATTTCCATAGAATGAAATTTAATATTGTCACTGCCAATATCGTATTTTCTTTTCATTTATTAATTTAAAAATCTTTCAATTTTTTTGTAATTTCCCAAAATAATAATTTCTTTTCTTTTATCTTTCTTTTTCATTTCTTTTTTCAATTTCTTTCTTCCTGTTCCTTTATTTTTCTTTCTTTCTTTCTTTGCATTTATCTTTCTTTCTTTTGATATAACTTTCTTTTTTTTATTCAGTTACCACATTTTTCTTTCCTTTCATTTACCTTTCTTTTCTTTCATTTCATTTATCTTTCATTCCATTTATCTTTCATTCATTCTTTTTATTTATTTTCTTTCATTTCATTTACCTTTCTTACTTTCATTCTTTCTTTTCATTTACCTTTCTTTTTCAGTTACCTTTCTTTTTTCTTTCTTTTCGTTTAACTTTCTTCTTCCTTTCATTTCATTTACCTTTCCTTCTTTCTTTCTTTCTTTGTTTCTTTTTCTTTTTTCTTTCTTTACCTTTTCCTTCCTTTCTTTTCATTTATCTTTCTTTCATTCTTTTTTTTTTTACTTTTCGTTGTTTGTTTCTTTCTTTCTTTCTTTGCATTTACAGTTCTTTCTTTTCTTTAGAAACATTTTTTTTTTCTTTTTCATCATACTTTGTTTTTATTTTTTTGTCGGCCTCATTTTGTTTCTTTCCTTTCCATTTCCTCTCTTCTTTCTCTTGACTTCCCAAGCCAGCCGTCAACCCTTTGAAAAACCTTGTCTTTTGCTGCGCTCAACACTCCATATGTCTCACCTTCTGCTTTCTCGCCATCTCTTACTCACATATCAACACCCACGTCTCCGTTCGGCTGGGCATCACTTATCTCCTCTCTTCCATTTCCCCGTATTCCATCCACCTGTGACAAGCTTCTTTACTCAAGTTAATCTCACGCCGACCGATTATCAGAAGGAATTGATTTCGCGACGCATGTTTATCTGTGCAGACGTATTGCTAAAGAGGCTGCTGTGACCCAGACTCCACAGCGTAGATACGTACTGTGTAGAGCATCTCTCTCTCTCTCTCTCTCTCTCTCTCTCATTATGTATATCTATCTATCTAATACTCTTCATATCTATCTATTTAATACTATTCAAACTTTTCTTTCTCTCTCTCTCTCTCTCACTCTCTCTCTCTCTCTCTCTCTCTATCTATCTATCTATCTATTTATCTATCTATCTAAGGCTATTCATACCGATCAATTAATCAATCAATCTATCTATGATAATTTATTCATATTTTGTTTCAGAATGTCCTTATCTATCTATCTATCTATCTATCTATCTATCTATCTATATATATATCATATAATTTATATATATATATATATATATATATATATATATATATATATATATATATATATATACATATATATATATATATATATATATATATATATATATATATATATATATGTATGTATGTATGTATGTATATGTCCTTATCTATTTATCTCTCTATTTTTCTATCTATCTATATTATCTATATATTCTAATTTATATATATATATATATATATATATATATATATATATATATATATATATACCTGTCTCAGCTTGTCCTTAAGTATGTATCGATCCATCTATCTACCTAATTTATATATATATATATAAGGACATACATACATACATACACACACACATATACATATATATATATATATATATATATATATATATATATATATATATATATATATATATATCAGCTTGTCTCCATCTAACTATCTACTCTACTCTCACATTTCTCTCTCTCTCTCTCTCTCTCTCTCTCTCTGTGTTTCCTTTCACTTTATGTTTCATTCTCTCCCTCTTTGTTTCCCCTGCCTCTTTTTCTGTCTGTGTTTCACACAGAGACAAAAGCACGCACGTAATCGGGTCGCACAAGAAAATAATCAGAATATACACGCAGACATGGGTCTCATAAAAAAAATCCCTATTCACGTTAGCACACTTCATTTAAAGGCGGGATTCAGTGATACTCAAGCGCATTAGGCGAGAATAGAGGGAGACTTGAGCCAAAAAAGAAAAATGACACTGACATTAATTTTGAAAATGCACAATAGAATAGTAATTTAAATGTCTTGTAAATATATGAAGAAACAAGTGTATTCACTGGCATAAAAAATTAAGGTGTGTAAAAAATGTATATGATACGCATGCGCGTATATGCTGTGAAATGACCGTAGAGTCGGAAATAGGTACGAAGAAAAAACTCACTGATGTAACAAGGGTCGCAAATAACATCATTGTAGATACAGGTATACGCATATTAATATATATGAATTGTTTGGGGCAAACAAAAAAGTGACCCCCGCCACACATATACGCATACACTAACACAGATATATATATATATATATATATATATATATATATATATATATATATATATATATATGAAAGAGCGCCAGATAACATAATTCACACGGCTGGAATATATACAAGTTTTGATTCAGCGTTATATTCGACTCAGCATACAAATCCCCAAACCTGTCGATATATATATATATATATATATATATATATATATGTATGTATGTATAAATGTGTGTGTGTGTGTGCGCGCGCGCGTGTGTGTAGACAGATAGATAGACAGAGATAGATAGATATGAACAGACAGATATATATATGTGTGTGTGTGTGTGTGTGTGTGTGTGTGTGTGTGTGTGTGTGTGTGTGTGTGTGTGTGTTTGTGTCCTGGATATGGCGATAAACTACATACGGCAGCAAGTCCTCTTATCGGGAGATTGAAGGATTTGAGGAGCGTGAAACAACCTTTTAATTGCTGTTGTTCTCAGGTCCGCCCTGACCCGGGGTGGTCGCACCTGTTAGGGGTCCAACTATGGGCAAATAGTGTCTACCAGTGCTGACCAAGCTCTTTAGCGTTATAAAACACGACGGGTCTAGGAGATGGAAAACTCTTACACGGAAAGCCTGGGGTATATTGTCTACTTCGTCCGTGGCATTTATTTGCACCGACTGAGTGTATCAATAGTTCCGAAAAGTGTGGATGGTTCTGCACAAGCCTTCACCACTTTAATCAAATCACTTGTGTGGGTTTTCTGGCGGTTTACTTTGATTTGTTCTTATCCACACAGTTCACTTCCAAGGTCCGCTGGCGAGAGAGTGAAGGCGACGGGTCAGGTAAAGGATATTACTGGAAGGCTCTAGCTGGAGCTCTACACAGTGGCAGACCGATGGGTGATGGCCGTTCTTTCACAAACCCATGAGAAATGTTGATGTCCGTGTCCTCCATCGGTGACAAGGTAGCCCTATTTAGGATTGCACTGCTTTCCCTATTATGGAGAGGGGGCGATAAAAGGAGCCCTAAACATTGCTTGCTCACACAGAGACTTGGCAGCCCGCTGCAGCTGTCTGGTTATCCAATAAAGCAATCGAAACAGCAAGAAAGATCAGGATAAGTATTAGAAGAATTTCCGTTTTGGATCCTGGAATGTTCGCATTCTTCAGGAGAATGATTCTGCACCAGAGCGTAAAACAGCTCTTGTTTCTCTCGAGTTGAAGAAATATAACATCGACATAGCGGCCATTAGTGAAACACGTCTGGCTAGTAATTCTCAGCTTAGGGAAGAAAAATGCGGATACGTGTTTTTATGGGCTGGAGAGACCGAGAAAGAGCCACGTCAGTCTGGTGTTGGCTTTGCCATCAAGTCAGACGTTGTTAGCTCATTGCCTTCCTTACCTAAATGTGTATCCGATCGCATAATGGAATTAACCCTCAATCTAGAGTGAAACACCCGTGTGACGATGGTTAGCAGCTACGCGCCAACCTTAGGTTGTTCAGATGAAGAAAAAGATGATTTTTACAATCTCCTTCGAGATGTCATCTCCAAAGTCCAACATAAGGATAAATTAGTCCTTATAGATGATTTCAATGCTCGTGTTGGCAGTGATTGTCATTCTTGTAAAGGCGTTTTAGGTCACCATGTTATTGGTCATGCGAATTCTAATGGATTACGCCTTCTCACTATCTGCAAGGAAAATGACCATAGTATCACTAATATCTTCTACCAGCAACCCGGCTGTCGTAAGACCATGTGGATGCATCCTCGTTCGAAAAACTGGCATTGTATCGACTACGTCATCACCAAAAGACGGGACATAAAAGATTTTAAGATAACGCGTTCATTCCACACAACATGCTATCCGTCAGATCACGCTCTACTTCGGAGTAAAACTACACTGCATCTGTAAAAGCGAAGGATTATAAAATCTACAGCGCCCAAGCGCATTAACGTACTGCCTCTTAAATCGACTGAAACGAAAATTGAGCTCTCTGACAAACTTGATGCTGCACTTGATTCTGTAAACATTACCAATGATATCGAATCATCTTGGAGGGTTCTGCGTGATGCAACATATTCTACATCCTTGGAGGTTCTCGGACTGCCACATCGTAAACATCAAGACTGGTTAGACGACAATAATACAGCAGCAGTTCAGCAGCTTATAGATCAATTACACTCTTCTGATAAAGCATGAATTGAGGACAAGAACTCGTCCGATAAGAAGATCGCTTACAAGAAGTGGTAAAGTCAGGCTCAACGAGCACTCAGAGCCATGAAAGAGCGTTGATGGTCTGAAAAGGCCACTGAACTCCAAGAAGCTTCAGATAGAAAAGATCTAAAGGCTTTCTATGATGGCCTCAAATGTTTGGTCCTCAGAAAAGTGCTGTTGCTCCAGTCTCTACAGCAAGTGGTGAAACTCTCTTGACGGAAGTCAGACATTTTAGATCGCTGGAAAGAGCATTTCGAAACTGTGTTAAACACCACTTCGGTTACTGATGAGGAAGCCATCACGTCAATTGAGCAAAATCCTGAAATTCTGGGGTTGTCTTTTCAACCTACCTATCAAGAGGTAAATGACTCCATCAAGCAAATCTCATCTGGAAAATCACCTACTCCTAAGGATCCTATTCCACCCAAAGTGTATAAGCATGGTGGCCAAAAGTTGGTGAAAAAGTTACATCTCCTTTTCGAGGAGATATGGAAGGCAGGCTGTGTCCCACAGGATTATAAAGACGCCTCTATCAAACACATCTACAAAAGCAAGGGTTCCAGGTGTGTCTGTGATAATCATTGGAGGATATAACTACTTTCATTTGCAGGCAAAATTCTAGCTAGACTGATTCTAAACAGAATCATTATACACCTTGCTGACGACATCTATCTTGAATCGCAGTCTTGTTTCGTCAAGTTGCAGAGAAAGTTCGCGAAAAAAACCATGTGTTGTACATGGTGTTTGTGGAATTGACGAAGGCCTTTGACACTGTGAATCGAGAGGCTTTTTGGCAAGTCTTGAGGAAACTCGGCATTCCTGAAAACATACTAAAGGTCATCATCTCCTTTCATGAAGGAATGAAAGCTAATATTGTGTCTGATGGTATGATGCCAGAATCCTTTGATGTCACAAATAGCACCAAGCAACGTTGTGACATGGCCCCTGTCCTTTTTGCCCTTTTCTTCTCAGTGATGCTGAAATATGCATTTGCAGACACAGCGTTGCGTCAAGTTTCAGTTTCGAACAACTGGTGGTCTCTTCAATCATCAGTGCTTCAAAGCCAAGACCCACCTTCGTACGCAAATTATTCGTGATTTGTTTTTTGCTGGTGATGCTGCTCTTGTTGCGACATCCTTTGAGGAGGCCCAACATCTAAAAAAATCGTTTCTCTGCTGCATGTAAAGCCTTTGGTCTTACACTTAGCATAACGAAAACTGAAGTAGTGCACCAACCTTGTCCTACTACGAAGCAATTCTGTGGTGAGAAACAAAATCGCCAGTATACAAATATCCAGAGAGACCATTGAATGTAGAAGACAAAGCTCTGAACTATGTCTTTCACCTATCTTGGTAGCAAAGTCAATCACAGTGGAACTTTAGATGATGAAATCATGCATCAGAAATCTAAGGATACCAGTGCTTTCGTACTATTTCGGAATCTCCTGCAGCTCTTTTAGGTGGTCTCCTTGTTTAAGTAGGGGTATGCTGCCATAATCCTTCTCTTCAGTTCATCTTTGGTGTTATAAGTAATTTTGTTCGTCTCTCGCGCAACTGGGCCTCACAGATAATAATCAAGGGGGTTGCAATCATGTTGCCAGACATAGTGTCTTCCAGCAGCAGCCCCCCCCATACTTCAACCAGTCCAGCGGTATCTCTCTCCAAGACACTTGATGTAGGCT